TCCACCAAGCCCTCCCTTACTCCCCTTTTCCTCATGGCTTCCACCAGGATCCTCCTGTCCACCGAGTCAAAAACTGTTTTTAAGTCCACGAACATCACCACCATCTTCCCTTTCTTCTCATTTACTTGCCTGTTTATCAGGTAATTCAGTACGTAAATGTTGTCCGTGGTCCCAACCCCTCTTTTAAACCCTGTCTGACTCGGTGGCAGCAAGTCCTTCTCTTCAACCTCCTTCCTCAACCTTTTCGCCAACACGGCAGTATACACTTTGTATGCCGTTTGCGCTAACGTCACCCCTCTGTAATTTCCCACTCTCTCCCCCTCCCCCTTTTGTTCTATAGGCACTATAATTCCCTCCCTCCAATCTTCCGGCCAACCCTCTCCCTTCCACACTCTATTGCACACTTCCCATAGCCATTCTTTCACTACCTCCTCTCCAAACTTCCAAACCTCATTTGGAATTTCATCACTTCCCATCGCTTTCCTCTCTCTAAGCTTCCTCACTACCTCCCACACTTCTTCTCTCCTTATCTCCTCTTCCTCCTCCTCCTCCTCCCTCCCCTCCCCTCTTCTTGTTCCCATCACCACCCTCCCTTTCACTCCTCCCAACAGCTCTTTAAAGTACCCATCCCATTCTTGCATACTAATTCCCTCATTCACCCTCCTTCTCCTCTTTCTCTCCTTGTTTACCACTTTCCATACCTGCCCCTCCGTCCTGATCTGCTTTACTTCCGCTTCCCATTTCTCCATTTCTCTTCTTTTCTTCCCTTCACATAGCTTCTTGTATCTCTGTTTTTCCTCCCTGTAACTGTCCCCCTCTCCCCCTTCCCTTCTCCATTTCCTTAACATGTTGCCAACTCTCTTTTTTCCCTCCCTACATTCCTCATCCCACCAGCCCTTTCTTCCGCTTCTTTTGCCCCTCCCATTCACTTCCCTTAATACCTCCCTTATCTTCCTCTTCAGCCCCTGCCACTCCTCCTCCACTCCCCCTCCCTGAGCTTGCCTGTCCCCCATTAACTCTCTAAATTTTTCCTTGCTTTCTTCTGACCAGTCTCCTCTCCCACTTCCGCTCCTTCCCTCCTTCCCCTTATCCATACCTTCCACCCACCCTTCCACCCACGCCGTCACTGGCTGATGGTCCGAATCGACCTTCTCTTCTACCACTACCCGTTCTACCTTTTCCCTTGTCCTCCTGTCCCCTAACACGTAGTCAATCACCGACTCCCCTCTTCCCCCTGTATACGTCCATTCTCCTTCCTCATCTCCTCTAATTCCTCCGTTAAAAATCGCCCACCCACGTTCCCCCAAGAATCTACACAGCTTTTTTCCCTCCCCATTTACCTTGCCATCCTTCGATCTCCTTTCTCCTTCCCCCCTCTCTTCTCCCTCTTCCACGAACCCCCTTTCCTTTCCGATCCTTGCATTAAAATCCCCCCCTATCAGCACTCTCACTCCCCTCTCAATCTCCTTCACCCATTCTTTCAGGTCTTCCAACTTCCCGTCCATATCCTTATTTATATATACTCCCACTGCCCTCCACCACTCTTTTCCAAGTTTCACTTTTATCGATACTATCCCTTCTTTATCTTTTTTCGTCTTCTCTCTTTCCATTTTGATCCCTACCCTCACCCCTACTATCATTCCTCCTATCGCCCTTCCCTTCCGGCTCTTCCTCCCTGCTCTCTGCACTTCCCATACGTAACCTCTCGGCATCTTTTCTTTTATCCTTTCCCACCTCTTACTGTCCACCCACGTTTCGCATAACACCATTACGTCCCAATCCTCCAGCCTTTTCCAAAACTCTTTATCTTTATTTGTTAACCCCGCCACATTCCAAAAGGCCACCTTATAAATTCTACTTCCCTCCCCTCTCCCTCTCCTCTTTCCCTCCTCTCCCTCTTTCTCTCCCACTCTTCCACCCAGTTCCTCCCTCTTATCCTTCTCAATTTCTGCTCCTTTTTCTTCCCCCCTACCCGCTCCTTCTCCCTCCTCTACTCCCCCTGCCTTTGCTCTTCCACTCTTTCACTTTCTTTTCCTTTCCCTTGCCCTTCCTCCCCGCACCTCTCTCTGCCATTCCTAAGCACACCTCTTACCTCATCCCACACCTACCATTCCCCCTCTATCCATACCCTTCCCATCCCTATTCTTACCTTTTTGCCCTCTCCTCTTGCCTTCCATGCCACTTGGTTTATCTTCCATTTTATTCTTCTTTCCTTCCATGTCAAGTCTTCGTCTATCCACGTATTTTCGTTTCTCAGTTTCCACTTATTTCTCATTATTTTCGCCTTCTCTTCTTCACTTCCCACTTTCACTACTGCCATCCCCCCCTTCTCTCTTCTCCCCGCCTCTATTTTTCTAATCTCCTCTATCTTCACCTCCACGCCTATCTTTTTCATTACCTCCGCCACTCCCCCCTTTATTCCTCCCGCATCTTCCTTCACTCCTTTTATCAGAATGTTTCTTTTCCTTTCTCCCCTCTCCTTTACTTCGTACCTCCTTTCCAGCCTTTCCACCCTCTCCTTCCAATCAGCCTCTCTCCTCCCCTCCTCCCTCAATCCTCCTCCGCTTTTCTCTCTACCTCTTCCTCCCCCAAGACCTCCTCCCTTTACCTCCATCTGCATCCCCTCCAGCTTTCGTTCCATGTCCTCTATTCTTTTCTGAAGCTCTCCTCTCTCCTTTCTCCACATCTCCTCTTTCTCCTTCAGTTCGCTTTTTATCTTCTTTACTTCTTCCATCATTACCTCCTTTTGCCCCTTCGCCACCTCTTTTATCTCCTCTCTCACTCCTCTTAACCCCTCTCTCATCTCCTTCCTTATTCCTCTCAACAACCCCTTCACATCCATATCCTCCCCCCCTGCCCCCCCTGATGGCGTTCTCACCGTCTTGTTACTTCTCTTCGAGAAGTCCTCGTTCCCTTTCCCCCCCGCACCATCTTCCTTCTCCATTTTATCCCTCTTCCTCTTAAACAACTCGTCTATACTCCCTTTCCTCTTGGAAAACTCATCTAGATTTCCCGTACTTCCGCGTCTCTTTTTCCCCAGCCTATCCACAAACTGCGCCATCTATCCTCTACTCTACGGCCGTATTACTTCCCCGCGTTATCCCGAAATCCCCAGAATTCCCTAGCCCTTCACTCTCACGCTCTCTATCCTTCCCCTTCTACGCTTGCTCTCTAACCTCAACCTTCCCGATTCTCCTCCGCCTCCACGGACTCTCCTCCCCTATCCTCCGCGCTGCCTCCACTCTCACACCTTCCCTTTCTCTCACCGCGCTCACTTCTCACTCGCCACACTCTCTTACTCACTCTATCTCTCACCCTCGCACTTCGCTTTTCGCTCGCAAAAATCGCCAACTCACACCATGCGACCGCAGGACGTTGCAACGCGCGCAGCGGTAGAAAGGGTGTAGTCACGGGTCGTGTTGCGCCGTATCTCCGAGGACGCGATGCTGCAATTCGCACCGCCGGCCGAGCAGAGCGGCGAGTCGGCCCGTAAGGAGGCCGAGAAATGGGCGGTAGAGGTGGACCCGCCCGACGCGATCGGGGATCCGCTACCGGTGATACAAGCGCCGGTCAAAGGAGACCAGGCCGCGGAGCTTCCGATCCCGATGAATTTGGAAGCGGTGCAGGCCATCGTCGCCATGCTAGAGTCGGAGCAGGCCGCCCGGCCTGACGAGCAGGCGACAGGTGCAGTTGAAGGAGGAACGGACGCGGAGCCGCCAGCAGAGTCCGCGAACCGGGACTACGCGTCCAGCGTCAGCTTCCGAAGCCCGGAGAGCAACGACGAGGACGAGAACAAGGACGAGGGACAAAAGGTCCCTACATAAATTTAAGTAGTATTACCAGCGTTCCGAGGATGGGGACGCACTTGGACGAACGTTTGTTTAGTTATTTTGTTTTGGTGACCCGCAGGGTCGAGATTTTGTCTGCGATAATACGACCCCATCCGGCGCCATAGGATATAGGTTAAGACAAGTCGCGCAATTGTTTAGTTTAGTTAGTACCGGCTCAAGCCATATTTAGTTCATTTTTGTTTACCGTTGAGCGCGCGAACGGTTGAGAGCGCGTAAAACCGCATGGCAAGGCTTGAGCCACACACACTTTCCAGGAAAGGAGAGGCGCCCGAATGGGCGTTCCTCCATATCGAGACGAAGGACCAGCGGAGGTCAACAATCGACCACGACGTACCGACAGACCGTCGGAAATACTCAGGGCGTAGCGGCGCTGAAAAACGGCTCCGGGGAGCCAAGATGGCGGACCGTCCGCAATTTCGTTTAATTAAAGATTCTCGCGTTAATGAACGGTCCCTGATCGAATCGGGGGGCCCGGGAAGCAACCGTAGCTAGAAAAGATCACATTTCGACCGCGAGAATAAAAAATGGCGGACCGTCCGTAATCTACGAGAAAACAATCGGGGCGTGATATCGCGCGGTGCCTGACGAAACTACGAGGCACGAGAAGGCCACATAGCCGAAAATCGTGGCGATTCGATAACGGATACGCGAGTTAGGGAACCGTCCGCGAGATTCCACTGGGTGCGTCATCTGCGGGGACAAACCACCCCTGACGAAAGGGGATGCCCAAAGGACGAGACAGGGCCGATCGCCGTCAAGATCCGACGACCGGGTCACGAGTTAGGGTACCGTCCAGAAGTATGCACCAGGTACGTCATCTCCGAGAACTGAGTAGTCCAGTCGAGAAGGGAGGACCAGATTAGGCTCCGTACCGCGCGCCGTCGAACTCCGGCGACCGGGAGACAAGTTAGCGTACCGTCCGCGAACTCGCACCAGGTGCGTCATCTCCGGGAACTGAGTTGCTCTGACGAACGGAGAGGGCCAAGATAAGCGCCGTACCGCGTGCCGTCGAAATCCGAAGATCGGGTCGCGAGATAGAGTACCGTCCGGTAGATCGCGACGCGGACGTCATTGCCGAG